GGGATCAGCAGTTATTAAAGGCGCATGCTAGCTATCTACTGTGCACGACAGCGTCGCGCAAGCAAGGGGGATGGGCGGGGGCATACCCGGCTGTCACAAGTATGCACACAATGCAAGCGAGCACCGCATCGATCTGATCAGCAGCACTCCCCTTCCATCTATCAGGGCGTCGAGTGAGGTAGGTGCACGCATGATGGGGTAGAGCGTGTGTATGTGTCGCCTTGGCTCAAACGTCGCATCCGCCCTCAGCTGGCGAGAAGAGCAAAACGACGGCCATGTCTATCAATGTCCGTGAACAGTGCCTTTGGATGGGGCCTGTGGACTTGGCCTGTGGAAGACCCTCCCGCCACGCACACGGCCAGGAGAGCTACGGAGCTGGCCGCAGACGCCGCCTTTTGTCCTGGCGCTCTAAGTCCCTACTCACACAGGGCTACCCCCCTAGGCTACGGCACAAGTAGCAAGCAAGGGGGATGGGGGGCATACCCGGCTGTCACAAGTATGCACACAATGCAAGCGAGCACCGCATCGATCTGATCAGCAGCACTACCCTTCCATCTATCAGGGCGTCGAGAGAGGTAGGTGCACGCATGATGGGGTAGAGCGTGTGCATGTGTCGCCTTGGCTCAAACGTCGCATCCGCCCTCAGCTGGCGAGAAGATCAAAACGGCGGCCATGGCTCGTATGGTTGGCTGTCAGCCCGCGCAGTCGTCCGGAGCAAAACCTGACGGCCAGGGATGCAAAAGCTGACGAGGGTGGGATTATAACCTACGCCCTTACGGACTAGAAGGTTTCCTACCGGCACGGCCGGTTAGTCCTGAATCTAGCGCCTTAGACCGCTCGGCCACCTCGTCCTGATGACAAAACGGGCAAAGAAAGGTCCCAATACCGGGAAAGGGACGAAAACTGTCGTACGCCGAAAGCTTTTCAGACGAATTTGGGCTCCCTGACCACGTGGACGAGGCGCCAACATCGCATTGCGCCGCGTCGTGGTCGCCGCGGCCGGGGGTACCGTAAATCCTGATTGGTGATGAATTCGCAAACGAACAAGCTTTGCGTGCCGGCATGACTTCAGCATTGCGGACCTAACGTTGGCGCGCCGACCAGTGTTGTGAGGTTGCTCATGTGTTGCAGACAAGCATGGTCGGCGGACCTGATGTCAGCGTGCGGCTCATGTTCGAAAGCAATAGTCGGCATGGCGTACATGTACGGCATGGCGTCGAACTGCTTCAATTTCAAATTTTGGGGCGCCTCCGGACGTTTTCCGCTATCGGTGACCTCTTGGGGCTGCCCTACGGCATGTTGGCGTGTCCAAGGCATGAAAAGCCCTTGTTCTGTACCAACATATACAGGTAGAGCCTCGCTACCTGCGCACTACATGCACACACACACACACACCCTGGCATGCACACCTCTGCATTGTAGTACGGCATCCCATGCGCACTGTTTGCCATATCTGCCTGTTTCCTCGTTCGCCTTGCATTTTAGTTAGGTTCGGCATAGTTAGGTTGCGGCGCTCACGTGTGTTCCTGTCTTTCTCCCGCCCTCGCATGTTCATCTTCTTGCCGTCGGTTATTGACACTGGTTGCTGGCCGCCGGATGCTTTCGTTCCTGCCTGCAGGTCAGTCTACGGTAACATCCGCACATAGTGGTCTTGCACTTGCTTTGCCTGTCTTGTTTTGCTCGCACATGCACTGCGACGTCTCGGCATGCTCCCCTGTTTTGCTACCTGTTCAGCAGCAATTCCAGCCTATCTACCTACCTACTCTCCTCGATACTGTCAGCTACGACATACATATCAACTTACTACTACGGGCCTTAGGTCCGGTCGGTTTACGCGAGTGGTTCTTACGTCCTACTTACTCTCCGCACCAGTACTGGACTTCTATTTACATATGCTACCATCTTCCTCGGCTCCTGCGGCGGTTCTGTGGGGACTTCTTCTTCCGACATCCCAGTACGTTCCTACTTGCGGCCAGTTTTTTTAACACACGCACAATCTCCCCGGCTTCTTAATTGCGGTCGGGTCAGCCAGCTCAGCTTGGTCAGCCAGCCGGGTTTAACACGCCCACGCCACAGCTTGCCGCTCGCCCATTACAGTCCAGCTTTCCTCAGTGCTCACCGTACACGACATTGCAACTACAGCAAGTAATTTGGATATTTTCTTCGGAAAGGTATGTGTGCGTTGCGGCGTGTTAGTTGGCACTCGCATCATCCAAGACCATCCTCGAGACGCGGGCGACATGGACCGGAGCTTGGCTGCCACGTTCGCGTGTAGTCACCCCGTGTTCGCGGCGTGCGTTTTTTTTGGAGCGTTTCGGAGCTTGGTCCCCACCTTCACTCCACCAGTGGTACCCTCGGAGCTCCTGGCGCTCTCGGCGGCTTCCTCTCCACAGCGGCAACTGCTGTTATCCGACCGCACGGCCCTCTCCATGTGGCTTCTGGGTTCTACGCGCCAGCGCTGGGCGGCTTGGTGGCCCCTCCGTGGCGTCGCGTCACTTCCCTGGGTTCTTCACGGTTACATAGCGTCTGTGCCTGTCACTTGCATAATGCCTACTCATTGCCTTGTGCCCATGAGTTTTGCACACGTCCCCTGGTGCCCGGATGCATGGTGGCACTCGGGGCTTGGTGCGGTGGGGAGCTCACTAGGAGCCCGCCCGCCAGTCCTCCTTCCCCTGGCATGCACACCTCTGCATTGTAGTACGGCATCCCATGCGCACTGTTTGCCATATCTGCCTGTTTCCTCGTTCGCCTTGCATTTTAGTTAGGTTCGGCATAGTTAGGTTGCGGCGCTCACGTGTGTTCCTGTCTTTCTCCCGCCCTCGCATGTTCATCTTCTTGCCGTCGGTTATTGACACTGGTTGCTGGCCGCCGGATGCTTTCGTTCCTGCCTGCAGGTCAGTCTACGGTAACATCCGCACATAGTGGTCTTGCACTTGCTTTGCCTGTCTTGTTTTGCTCGCACATGCACTGCGACGTCTCGGCATGCTCCCCTGTTTTGCTACCTGTTCAGCAGCAATTCCAGCCTATCTACCTACCTACTCTCCTCGATACTGTCAGCTACGACATACATATTAACTTACTACTACGGGCCTTAGGTCCGGTCGGTTTACGCGAGTGGTTCTTACGTCCTACTTACTCTCCGCACCAGTACTGGACTTCTATTTACATATGCTACCATCTTCCTCGGCTCCTGCGGCGGTTCTGTGGGGACTTCTTCTTCCGACATCCCAGTACGTTCCTACTTGCGGCCAGTTTTCTTTTCACACACACACACACACACACACACACACACAAACACATCTGCGCATGAGGGCGACGTCTCATGACCCGTGGGTCAGTGATCACCAAAAAAGCTATCATTTTCGGCGATCAGCAATCGGCGCTTTTCAGGAGATGCGCCGACTTCACGACCGTGCTTCTCGTCGAAACCAGCTTGCAAATTGCGCCGAAAGACCTTTGCCGATGCCAGGTAAATTGTGCCGAAATCTAAAGAGCTTTCACGGCCATCTCCCCTGACAGCATTCGCCGATCAGCAATCGCCGATCAACCATAGTTTTCGGCGATCAGTAATCGGCGCTTTTCAGGAGATGCGGCGACTTCACGACCACACTTCTCGCCGAAACCAGCTTACATTTTGCGCCGATTTTGTTTTGCCGAAACCATATCAGTCGCCGAAACAGTTTTACACTGATTTTGGAAAGTAACCAAGAAACTGCGAATGGCTCATTAACTCAGTTATAGCTTAGTCGACATCACAATGCAAGACATCGCAACAAGGAGACGGGCGGCACACGGTGCCCCAACCCATGCCGTACCGTGTCGCTGTACGACAGGGGTGTTCAGAGGAGCTAGAGCGATGAAGAGGTGGTGAGGGGAATAGGGAGTTTGGGGAGGGGTGGTCACGGTCACCAAACAGTTTTACGCCGATTTTGGAAAGTAACCAAGAAACTGCGAATGGCTCATTAACTTAGTTATAGCTTAGTCGACATCACAATGCAAGATATTGCAACAAGAAGATTGGTGATACGTGGTGCCCGAAGCCATGCCGTACCGTGTCGCTGTACGACAGGGGTGGTCAGAGGAGCCAGAGCGACGAGGGGGTGGTGAGGGGAGTGGGGAGCATGGAGGGGGGTGGTCACGGTCACCAAACAGTTTGACGCTGATTTTGGAAAGTAACCAAGAAACTGCGAATGGCTCATTAATTCAGTTATAGCTTAGTCGAGATCACAATGCAAGATATTGCAACAAGAAGATTGGTGATACGCGGTGCCTGAAGCCCATGTCGCTGTACGACAGGGGTGGTCAGAGGAGCTAGAGCGGCGAGGGGGTTGTGAGGGGAGTGGGGAGCATGAAGGGGGGTGGGAGGGCGTGTCGAAACCCATGCCGTACTGCGTTGCCGTACACCTCATGGTGATGCAGGGGTGTTCAGAGGTGCTTGAGGGACGAGGGGGTGGTGAGGGGAGTGGGGAGCATGGAGGGGGGTGGGAGAACGTGTCGAAACCCATGCCGTACTGCGTTGCCGTACACCTCATGGTGATGCAGGGGCGTTCAGAGGTGCTGGAGGGACGAGGGGGTGGTGAGGGGAGTTGGGAGCATGAAGGGGGGTGGGAGGGCGTGTCGAAACCCATGCCGTACTGCCTTGCCGTACACCTCATGGTGATGCAGGGGCGTTCAGAGGTGCTGGAGGGACGAGGGGGTGGTGAGGGGGGTGGGGAGCATCGAGGGGGGTGGGAGAGCGTGTCGAAACCCATGCCGTACAGATGCCGTACAACCGTACGACAGTTGTCGTACACTGCCTGTCGTACACCACATGATGCGTCACCACACAGCATGGCAACTGTGCCGTACAGTTTGCTGCCGTACAGTGTGTTGTCGTACTCGAGATCTCCCAGAACACCATCCCCATAGGCCCAGGCATCATCTCCAAGGGTGCTGAGGAAGTCGCCAAGAGGTCGCTACCCGGCTCGAACTGGAGACCTCTGGCTGGCTGAGGACATGGCGGGGCACGCCTGGGGGGGGCCGTCGCAACTTGTGTGGGGCGTGGTGTAGAGTTTGGGTGTGATTTGGGTTTTGCGTGTTTCGTCCCTTGTTTGGTTTCCTTTGGGCATGTGTTCGATGATGCATGTGTGCATGCATGCGTGTGCGGGTTGCACGGGACGAGGGGGCGAGTAAAGCGGGGGTGCTTGCATTCGTGTGTGGGTTGCAGGTTGTTAGGCGGTGAGTAAAGTTGTGGGGCTTGAAGGCGTGCATGTATGGGTTGCATGGGGCGTGCGTGTGTGGGTTGCTCGGGACGAGGGGGCACGTGAAGCAGGATGCATGGGGCGAGTAATGTGGGAGTGCTCATGCGTTCGGCTGCATGTGTCGAGAGGGCGCTTGAAGCGGGAATGTTGAGCGTGTGTGGGCCGCACGGGATGAGGGGGCATGTACTGTCAGAGTGCTGGCATGCGTGTGTGCGTGGGATGCATGGGGTGAATAGGCGAGTAAAGCGTGCATGCGTGTGGGGGCTACAAGGGGACGTGTAATGTGGGAGTGCTTGCATGCATGCGTGTCTGAGTTGCATGGGGCGAGGGGGCACTTGAAGAGGGGGTGCGTGCAAGCGTTCGTGGGTTGCACGGGACGAGGGGGCGAGTATTGTGAGAGTGCTGGCTTGCGCACGTGCGTGGGTTGCATGGGGTGAAAAGACGTGTGAAGCGGGAGTGCGTGCATGCGTGTGGGGGCTACAAGGGGCGCGGGGACGTGTAATGTGGGAGTGCTTCCATGCGTTTGGGTTTGAATTGCATGGGGCAATGGGGCGACTAATGTGGGAGTGCTTGCATGCATGCGTGTCTGAGTTGCATGGGGTGATGGGGTGTGTGAAGCAGGATTGCGTGCATGTGTATGCAGGTTGCACGGGGCAAGGGGACGATTATTGTTGGAGTGCTTGCATGCCTTCGTGCTCGGGTTGCATTGAGTGAGGGGACGAGTTGAGCGAGGGTGCTTGCATGCGTGTGTGGGCGGATTGGGGCGAGAGGGCGCTTTAAGCTGGAATGTGTGTGTGGGCTACAGGTGGTGAGGGGGTGAGTAAAGCGGGCTTGCTTTCATGTGTTGAGAAAACTGGCCGCGAGTAGGAACGTGCTTGCATGGGTGCGTATGTTGGTTGCATGGGGTGAGGGGGCGAGTACGGGGGTACTTGCATGCATGTGTGGGCTGCATGGGGAGGGAGGTGGGTAAAGTAAGAATGCGTGCATGTGTGTGTGTGTGTGTGGGGGGGGGGGGGGGGTGGATCGGTTGAGGAGACCAGTTAGCTGGGGTGCTGTCCCGAGCACGACGTCCCTCTCAATCACCCTGCCACTCGCTGTCCCTAATCTACAAGGCGCTCCTGATGGATAGGACCCTCCTTCGGACGCGGCCAGCAATAAACAAGATGCTGCACCGCAGAAGGGTGCAAGGGAATGGGCGGGGGACAGGGGCGGAGGCAGGGGCGGGGCGGCAGTGTTTGTAAATGGCAAAGTAAGCGCGTGTTGGGGCGGGGAGGGGCGCACACTGATGGATAGGACTCTCCTTCGGCCGCGGCCAGCAATAAACAAGATGCTGCACCGCAGAAGGGTGCGAGGGCTGCGACACCAGCATGCTCACCTCGGGGCTGGGGCTCCTGCTGGGGGACCTGTGGTCGGCGCCTCTTCGCTCGGTTCCACTGCCGCCCGGCTTGCTTGGCAGCGCGAAGGGAGGCCTGCATGTATGGAAGCAGAGTGCGGGAATGGGCGGGGGAGAGGGGTGGAGGCCGGGGTGGGGCGGCAGCGTTTGTAAATGGCAAAGTAAGCGCGTGTTGGAGCGGGGAGGGGCGCACACTGATGGATAGGACACTCCTTCGGCCGCGGCCAGCAATAAACAAGATGCTGCACCGCAGAAGGGTGCGAGGGCTGCGACACCAGCATGCTCACCTCGGGGCTGGGGCTCCTAGCCTGCTGGGGGACCTGTGGTCGGCGCCGCTCTGTTTGGTTCGCTGCCGCCCGGCTTGCTTGGCAGCGCGAAGGGAGGCCTGCATGCATGGAAGCGGAGTGCGGGAATGGGCGGGGGAGAGGGGCGGAGGCTGGGGCGGGGTGGCAGCGTTTGTAAATGGCAAAGTAAGCGCGTGTTGGAGCGGGGAGGGGCGCACACTGATGGATAGGACCCTCCTTCGGCCGCGGCCAGCAATAAACAAGATGCTGCACCGCAGAAGGGTGCAATGGCTGCGACACCAGCATGCTCACCTCGGGGCTGGGGCTCCTAGCCTGCTGGGGGACCTGTGGTCGGCGCCTCTTCGCTCGGTTCCACTGCCGCCCGGCTCGGCAGCGCGAAGGGAGGTCTGCATGCATGGAAGCGGATTGAGGGAATGGGCGGGGGAGAGGGGTGGAGGCCGGGGTGGGGCGGCAGCGTTTGTAAATGGCAAAGTAAGCGCGTGTTGGAGCGGGGAGGGGCGCACACTGATGGATAGGACACTCCTTCGGCCGCGGCCAGCAATAAACAAGATGCTGCACCGCAGAAGGGTGCGAGGGCTGCGACACCAGCATGCTCACCTCAGAGCTGGGGATCCTGCTGGGGGACCCGTGGTCGGCGCCGCTCCGTTTGGTTCGCTGCCGCCCGGCTTGGCAGCGCGAAGGGAGGTCTGCATGCATGGAAGCGGAGTGCGGGAATGGGCGGGGGAGAGGGGCGGAGGCTGGAGCGGGGCGGCAGCGTTTGTAAATGGCAAAGTAAGCGCGTGTTGGAGCGGGGAGGGGCGCACACTGATGGATAGGACACTTCTTCGGCCGCGGCCAGCAATAAACAAGATGCTGCACCGCAGAAGGGTGCGAGGGCTGCGACACCAGCGTGCTCACCTCGGGGCTGGGGCTCCTGCTGGGGGACCTGTGGTCGGCGCCTCTTTGCTCGGTTCCACTGCCGCCCGGCTTGGCAGCACGAAGGGAGGCCTGCATGCATGGAAGGGGAGTGCGGGAATGGGTGGGGGAGAGGGGCGGAGGCAGGGGCTGCTTCACCAGCGGAAATGCATTCACCCCCAATGTGACCAGGGAATCCTCATTGGGCTCCATATCCCATAAGCTTATATCTATATCTTCCTGCAAGGTTTGAAGTATCAATAGCCTCAATGGTGAAACAACACTTGTAACGGTCTTGATCTGGTAGGCTACATGCACTGGCATCTTAGCTCGAGTAGAGGACGCATGCTTACCTCCAGCATTACCCCATTTGAGAGTGTAGTACCCGTAGCCACGTCGACCGTGCCATGGCACATGTTTCCAGACCTCCAGTCGGTCCCAACGGCGGAGGTAGGCGCGTCCTAAGGGGGCGTGTAAAGGGAAGTACCTAGGTACACATGCCTACAGTGGGTGGAAGGGATACGTTACAATGCATGCTCACCTGGTGGGCTGGGCTCGTGCATTGCTGTGAGTTTGCTGCTGCATGCAGACTGGGCAAGGTGTTGTTTGCGAGGAGGGTGCAGTTGCTGCGCCATGCATGCTGCTGGATGCACCACCCAATGTTTGCGCCTGAAGCGCCAGTGAAACCGTGGGAGTGAAGCGTCTGGTCTGGACACTACTGGCAGCCTGAGCTGTGTCGCTGCCTGCTGCGAGCACACCCTCCAGGTCCTGAAAGCAAGCATACAGCTTAAGCATACACCCTTGAACCGAGTGCCCTGGCTGCAACGTTTGCAAAGGTATTCTTAGCTCACCTTCTTCTTCTTGAGCCAGGGCTTCTGCAACCAGAAATAGTCGCCTACAGCGCCTATCTCGTGGCCCTTAGGCCTTGTCAGCTCTACAAGGTAACTAACAAAGAGGAGCTGAGCTGCTGGGGCGCGCTTCTCCTTCTCCTCCAAGTAGTTACCCACAAACACGTCACCGCCCTTGTGAAGAAACGACCTGAACGAGCTCAGAGAGCTGACGTGGGATCCTAGGAGCCCCAACAAGGAGCATTCCTGTAAAGCATGACGGGAGGAGCTTAGCAGACAGGACACACCCAGTGCTGCATTCCAGCAGACAGCTTGCCTTGTCGTCCACTGTTTTCAATTTCATGTTGTATAGGGCGCTCGGACTGGCATCGTCAGGAACGTTTGCCTGCCAGCCATCGAATTGGAGCGTCGCTCCCCTCCTCTGAAGCGAGATAACAGCTACTGTGCGATATAGCTCAACACAGACCAAGCTTTTTTCCCTCGTATACTGTATCAGCGTCGCCTGAGCCCTAGAAGCGGCATTGCGTAAACGAGTAATGGGTCCCTTTTTATCTAATCCGTCAGCACCCGTGCACGGCTCCCAGCTAATCCCTTTTTATCTAATCCGTCAGCACTCGTGCACGGCTCCCAGCTAATCCCTTTTTATCTAATCCGTCAGCACTCGTGCACGGCTCCTAGGTAATCCACGTTAATCTAATCTGCCTGTGCATGGTTTTGGCTTAACATGGATTACAGTAACCCCAGCAAATCCAACTTGAACCATTCTAATCGGATTACCATGCTTGCACAACTGCACGTGCACAGTCGGATCAGATCAATTGTAATCCCTTTCGATCCCCGTTAAGTCGGAAATCCGGAAATTTTGATCCGTGGTAATCCGGGATCATCCAGCTCAAAGTCGTGTACACGAGAACGGATTAACAGCCAAAACAGCTGCGGATTAACCCATAGGGGCCGTTGGTAGGGACACACGATTCGAACGATGAAGACTGAATATCATAACTAAGTAAGATATGTAAAGTTCTTCTATTAGTTGCTTGCGTATATTACATGTCAACGTATCAGGGGTTCATTCTTTGTCGTTCGGATCAGAGGACACTGCATGAAGTTAACGTCCTGAGGCAACACACGATGTATGAAATTGGCAGAACTCTTAGATGCTTTTTTGGTGGAAGGCTCAATACGGCAGGTTGAGCTTGTACGGCGTAACTTGGGTGACGCAGTACAGGACTTTTCAAATGCAAGAACTAGAGGCTAGAGTATGCAATAAAAGCATTTCAACCTCGACTATAGATACTTCTTTCGTTGACGAATTCATGTAGTATGTCCAAATGCCGCGGCGCTTAGGTCAGACATGGGCATTGCCTGCCACAAGTGGGCCCGCCACTTCCGCTTGGCAGGCTTGGCTGCTGGCAGGCCTTGTGGTTTCCTGATATTTGCAGTAACAAGTAATGCAAATGCGGTAGCCGTGACAACTAAGTATTGCTTGTGCAAGCGATGTGTAAATGGAGTGGTCGATCGAAAGGCCGTGAAGCTCAGGTCAAACAGAATGGTTCGTAACCACCTCAAGAGAAATGGTTGCTACGATCCACGTTACAAAAGGATGGAAAGCAGCACCTCGGCTGAAGAGGTCCGAGCCCGTTGTTTTCAAAATTGTCATGGTAAGTACCAAACAACACCAGCATGCAACTTGCTATCGTTTCTTACATGCTTGCTCGCTCATTTGGCAAATGCGGTGGCCCAACATCTTCACGTAGACACTGCCATTGACTCCTTTGGCTCGCCCTGTCCTTATATTGGCTAGATATACTTGTATCCATGTGCATGTGACTCAATTATGACTTTCTAAATCAACAATGTATGTAAATATTCTCAGACCCAAGCTGGGCTTACAACTTAGGCTGCAACTTGCGGCTGGAGGGGGGGGGGCACGTTGCAGCCTGGTGTGTGCGCCCAACTCGTGTATGAGCTTGTCGCCAACTAATTCACTATGACGTACAAGCCTATACAATGTTGATGTAAAGAGTCGATAACGTAATTTGATAACGTAATTTGGTCGTTTGCGGCACGTATGGCAGTCAGTGTGAGACATCGTTGTCAATGCTGGACTGCAAGCAGAAGTGTGGATGCCGTACCAGAAAAGCGACATCAGACGTCGTCTTTTAGGAGGACATTGTTTGCCGAGTTATGCCAACAGCACAACCAGCTATGATACTCCTGCGAGTTTTTTTGTTACCTTCAAGGCTGTGGTAAAGCGAGGAGCGCATTCCTTTTTCCTTACACCCTTGCACTACTTAAGCCCACAACCTCAGGCATATCGTGTATTGTGTATCGTGATATTGTCCAGCCACCCCAACAATCAGAGAACTGAGAAGGGTGCACGCAACAGTCGGAAACTTGCGGCTGGGGGGGGGCTTTTTACCCCCCCATACCCCCCCCCGGGCCCTTCACTGTCCTTTGCTTGTTGCCATTTCATTCGCTATGACGTACAAGCCGCACGCTGAATGGGCGAGTAGTGTGGCATTGCTTTCATGCATGCGTGTCTGAGTTGCATGGTGCGAGGGGGCGCTTGAGGCGGGTGTGCGTGCATGCGTGTGTGGGTTGCACGGGACGAGGGGGCGTGTACTGTGAGAGTGCTGGCATGTGCGCGTGCGTAAGTTGCATGAGGCAAAGGGGCGTGTAAAGCGGGGGTGCCTGCATGCGTGTGGGGCTAAATGGGGCGAGAGGGCGCTATAAGCTGGAATGTGGGCATGTGTGTGTGTGGGTTGCAGGTGGTGAGGGGGTGAGTAAAGCGGGCTTGCTTGCATGTGTTGATAAAACTGGCCGCGAGTAGGAACGTGCTTGCATGGGTGCGTATGTTGGTTGCATGGGGTGAGGGGGCGAGTACGGGGGTACTTGCATGCGTGTGGGAGCTGCATGGGGAAGGGGGGGGGTAAAGCAAGAATGTGTGCATGTGTGGGGGGGTTGCATCGGTTGAGGAGCCCAGTTAGCTGGGGTGCTGTCCCGCGCACGACGTCCCTCTTAATCACCCTGCCGCTCACAGCCCTTTCCTCGATGTCCCTAATCTATAAGGCGCTCCTTGCACTCGTCCTTCCGCATGTACCGGTCCTCCCAAGGGCTTCCCAGCACACAGCGCGCCTCACACGTGCACTTACTCACACAGCGCCTCCAACTTGGTCTCTTCCACCTTATACGGCCAACTGGCTTCTGACAGCGTAACAATGCTAACGTATTTCTTTAAATGTTTCGCTGGACATACTTGTATCAGTGACTCCATCCCTGGGAGTCGGGCTGAATCGCACTCGCCTGTGGTGCTCTTCGGCGTGGGCCTCCTACGTTACTTCGGCGCTACAAAGCAAGGTTACCGAATTTTGCAGCTTGATAACGTATTCTGGTCCTTTGCGACACGCATGGCAGTCAGTGTTAGACACCGTTGTCATTGCTGGACTGCAAGCAGCCACTTTAATCCATTATACCATTAGACTGTATAAATGCTATGTAAAACGCCTTTGTTTTTTATGTGGATGTAGTGGTTGTCGAAAGTACCTTTCGCATTGCGGTGTGTGAAGGTCTGGTTTGCCGTTCAATCGTCTGTACCCAAGCTATGGCGTGAATGTGAATACTTACCGTTCTCTTCTTCGGCCACTCAACATTGTCGCTGGAGTATAAGGGCAAGTAGTTAGAATGCCGTACTAGAAAAGCGACGTCAGACGTCGTCTTTTTGAAGGGCATCATTTGCCGACTTATGTTAACAGCACAACCACCATTGATACTCCTGCGTGTCTTGTTTTTTGTTACCTTTCAAAGCTGTGGAAAAGCGAGGCACGACATCCTTCTCCTCCAGCCGCACGTTGCAGCCTGGTGTGTGCGCCCAACTCGTGTATGAGCTTGTCGCCAACTAATTCAGTATGACGTACATGCCGCACGCACGCTAAAGCACCATCTTCTCTCTTGCCAATAAGCTGGGCTGCGCCGTAAGTTGTGCGCTAGAAGGGGGGGGGGGTAGGGGGGGGGCGAAGCCCCCCCCCTCCAGCCACACATTGCAGCCTGGTGTGTGCGTCAACTCGTGTATGAGCTTGTCGCCAACTAATTCACTATGACGTACAAGCCGCACACACGCACGCTAAAGCACCATCTTCTCTCTTGCCAATAAGCTGGGCTGCGCACGTAAGTTGGGCGCTAGAAGGGGGGGGTTAGGGGGGGGGGGCTTCGCCCCCCCCCCCCCCTCCAGCCACACATTGCAGCCTGGTGTGTGCGCCCATCTCGTGTATGAGCTTGTCGCCAACTAATTCACTATGACGTACAAGCCGCACACACGCACGCTAAAGCACCATCTTCTCTCTTGCCAATAAGCTGGGCTGCGCACGTAAGTTGGGCGCTAGAAGGGGGGGGGGGTAAGGGGGGGGGGCGAAGCCCGCCCCCCTCCAGCCGCACGTTGCAGCCTGGTGTGTGCGCCCATCTCGTGTATGAGCTTGTCGCCAACTAATTCACTATGACGTACAAGCCGCACACACGCACGCTAAAGCACCATCTTCTCTCTTGCCAATAAGCTGGGCTGTTCACGTAAGTTGGGCGCTAGAAGGGGGGGGGGTAAGGGGGGGGGGTAAGGGGGGGGGCGAAGCCCCCCCCCTCCAGCCGCACGTTGCAGCCTGGTGTGTGCGCCCATCTCGTGTATGAGCTTGTCGCCAACTAATTCACTATGACGTACAAGCCGCACACACGCACGCTAAAGCACCATCTTCTCTCTTGCCAATAAGCTGGGCTGCGCACGTAAGTTGGGCGCTAGAAGGGGGGGGGGTAAGGGGGGGGCGAAGCCCCCCCCCTCCAGCCGCACGTTGCAGCCTGGTGTGTGCGTCAACTCGTGTATGAGCTTGTCGCCAACTAATTCACTATGACGTACAAGCCGCACACACGCACGCTAAAGCACCATCTTCTCTCTTGCCAATAAGCTGGGCTGCGCACGTAAGTTGGGCGCTAGAAGGGGGGGGGGTAAGGGGGGGGCGAAGCCCCCCCCCTCCAGCCGCACGTTGCAGCCTGGTGTGTGCGTCAACTCGTGTATGAGCTTGTCGCCAACTAATTCACTATGACGTACAAGCCGCACGCACGCACGCTAAAGCACCATCTTCTCTCTTGCCAATAAGCTGGGCTGCGCCGTAAGTTGGGCGCAAGAAGGGGGGGGGGGGGTAGGGGGGGGGGCGAAGCCCCCCCCCCTCCAGCCACACGTTGCAGCCTGGTGTGTGCGCCCATCTCGTGTATGAGCTTGTCGCCAACTAATTCACTATGACGTACATGCCGCACACACGCACGCTAAAGCACCATCTTCTCTCTTGCCAATAAGCTGGGCTGCGCACTTAAGTTGGGCGCTAGAAGGGGGGGGGGGTAAGGGGGGGGGGCGAAGCCCCCCCCCCCTCCAGCCGCACGTTGCAGCCTGGTGTGTGCGCCCATCTCGTGTATGAGCTTGTCGCCAACTAATTCACTATGACGTACAAGCCGCACACACGCACGCTAAAGCACCATCTTCTCTCTTGCCAATAAGCTGGGCTGCGCACGTAAGTTGGGCGCTAGAAGGGGGGGGGGGTAAGGGGGGGGGCGAAGCTCCCCCCCCCTCCAGCCGCACGTTGCAGCCTGGTGTGTGCGCCCATCTCGTGTATGAGCTTGTCGCCAACTAATTCACTATGACGTACAAGCCGCACACACGCACGCTAAAGCACCATCTTCTCTCTTGCCAATAAGCTGGGCTGCGCACGTAAGTTGGGCGCTAGAAGGGGGGGGGGTAAGGGGGGGGCGAAGCCCCCCCCCTCCAGCCACACGTTGCAGCCTGGTGTGTGCGCCCATCTCGTGTATGAGCTTGTCGCCAACTAATTCACTATGACGTACATGCCGCACACACGCACGCTAAAGCACCATCTTCTCTCTTGCCAATAAGCTGGGCTGCGCACTTAAGTTGGGCGCTAGAAGGGGGGGGGGTAAGGGGGGGGGGCGAAGCCCCCCCCCCCTCCAGCCGCACGTTGCAGCCTGGTGTGTGCGCCCATCTCGTGTATGAGCTTGTCGCCAACTAATTCACTATGACGTACAAGCCGCACACACGCACGCTAAAGCACCATCTTCTCTCTTGCCAATAAGCTGGGCTGCG